CAATTTAAAACTTTCCCCTCGATACCATGAGCCTTAACTTTTCTCAGAAGCCTCTGTTGCAGTACTCCGTCTAATGCTTTGCTAAAGTCTAAGTAAATAACATCGTAATTTTCGTCATTATCTACTACCTCGAACACTTTCCTAAAAAACGTCAGCAGATTTGTTAGACAAGATTTTCACTTTGTAAACCCATGTTGAGAGTCGTAGATTAATTTGCTTTTCTCTAAATGCGATCGGATGCTATTTGCTATAATTGATTCAAGAAATTTCCCCACTACTGACATCAAACTGATCGGTCGGTAATTTGATGCTGATACTCTGTCTCCCTTTTTTAATATGGGTACAACATTTGCCTGTTTCCACAAGTCTGGCACAACTCCCGTGTCTAAAGATTTTGTAAATAAATTTACGAGGGGGCCGCTAATCTGTTCCCTACTCTCTTTCAAAACTCGAGGGAAAATTTCATCCGGCCATGGGGATTTTGTCTTCTTTAATTTATTTATACTCTTTAGAACATCCTCTTTTCTGATAGTGATATTCTTTAATTTCTTTTTTCCTTTCCCCTAAATATCAGTTCCACCTCTGGAAATTCCTCACGAATTCTTCTGTGAAAACTGATTAGAAGTAGCTGTTCAATGCTTTGTTTATTTCCTCACTGTCATTGATCACTACCCCCCCCCCTCCCTGACTTTAAAGGCCCAACTTTGTCCTTGACCTATGTTCTATATACCTGGAAGCATCCCTTGGGATTCGCCTTGGATTCTCTTGCTATTCTGATCTCATAGTCTCTCTTTGCTTTCCTTACATTTTTCTTAACATTCCTAGATAGTTCATTATACCTATTTCTGAGCTGCTCCTCCCCTCCCTTTAATTTCTTATAAATTCCTTTCTTTATTCCTATGTCATGTTTAAGTTTTCTCGTCATCCACCTTGGCTCATTCTTATTTGACCTAATTTTTCTGTACGGTATATTTTGTTCTTGTGCTTTATGTACTATACTCGTGAATATATTATAGTCATGATCGATTGTTGTGTCATCTATGACCTCACCCCTTCCTACCGGGGACTGACGTGACTGTTCCCAGGTGACCTCACCTAGGTACCTTCTTAATCCCTGATAATCCGCCAACCGAAAGTTTGGGACTCTGACCATATTGTCATTGTTTTTGGCTTCCCAATTTTGGGTGAACCTGATTTCTCTGTGATCACTTTACCTAGTTCTTCCCCTACTGTGATATCTCTGATAATATTTTCTTTATTTGTTAATACTAGGTCTAATATATTGTCACCTCTAGTAGGTTCTGTAATTAGTTGTTTCAAAAATTTGTCCTGTACAGCGTCTAGGAAGTCTTCAGATTCATAGTCACCTACAATGTTGTCCCAGTCAATATTTCTGAAATTGAAATCCCCGATAATGCAAAGGTTGTTATATTATGCTGCCCTACTCATTTCCTGCCACATGGGCTGAGCTGCTTCTTTGCCCAGACTTGGATTCTGTAAATCACTCCGTCATTTCTACCCATGCAGACTCGGTTCCCATTTCACCCTTTATTGAATTATTAATACAAAATTTTAATGTATCCTTGACGAAGAGTGCGACCCCTCCCCCCTCCTACCTTCCCTGTCCTTGTGAAAAAGGTTGTACCCTTCTATGTGGTACTCTGATAAAAAAATTTTGCTCGCCAGATTCATCCAAGTTTCGGTGATTGCTTTGACGTCTACATTCTCGGTACATACAACCGCTCTTAGCAGGTCAATTCTATTTCTAACGCTCCTACTGTTTGTATAGTATACATTTAAGCCTACCCTTCCCTGGTCCTGTTTTACCCAGGACCTGCTTGTTTTTTGACTCCCACTTTCCCGTACCTCTCTCTACTGGCGAAACCCCCCCTTTGGAGTGACAATTTCACGCTCCAGGGATGCAGACAACGTCTTTACCCCGGCACGAGACAAGTGTACTCCGTCACGACTGTACAGGTAGTCGTTGCCATAGAATCTTTGGCAGCTGTCAATGAATGCCCAACCATTGTTTGCACAATGTTTTTCCAGTCGGCAATTTATAGCGATTGCCCTGGACAGCCATTCACGACCAACCCCTCTTCTAGGCAAGACACCACATACTATCGGGATCCGTCCCCTATCTCTAATCTTCCCCAGCGCCTCCCTCTTGAAAAGTTCCTCACTCCTAACCTTTCCTATGTCGTTTCCTCCCACACTAAGACACACTACTGGATTGGTACCCTCCCCTGACAAAACCCTGTCTAACCTCTCAGCTACATGCCTTATCCCAGCCCCAGGAAAACACACCCTAGTCCTACGTTTCCTATCTCTTGTACAAAAAGTCCTCACCTGGCTGTCCCCAACTACCACGACCTTACCTCTGGGCAGGGTTTGCACAACTGCCCTTTCCTCTACCTGCACCACACTTTCCTGCCTCTTCTCTTCCTCGCCAGCTTCCTCCAACACCTAGTAGGGGTTTCTACATTCCACACCCTGGTCAGCTTTCCTGAGCCTGACCCTAGTCCCCTTGGAGACAACCACTCTCCACGCCTGCTCCTCCTTCGCAGGTGTCCTGCTAGGCAGGACACTTACCTGAAGGAGTTCAGTCCTGAGGGATTCATTTTCCCCCTTTAGAGTGTCAACCTCACTCCTCACCTGCCCCAGCTGCCTTAGCAGAGTGGCCAAGAGGTGGTCTTTCCCCACACTACCATCCTCTTCCCCCAAGATACAACGATCCAAGGCGGCCATTTTCCTTGGTCACTACGGAAGAACTTGGGGACACGTCCTTCTCCAAGCTGGGTCAGGTAGCACAAAAAGTCCTATCTAAAAACCTCATCTGGCTGTCCCCAACTACCACGACCTTACCACTGGGCAGGGTTTGAGCAACTGCCCTTTTCTCTCCTGGCACCACACCGTCCTGCCTCTTCTCTTCCTCGTCCTTCCTCTTCTCTTCTCCGCCAGCTTCCTCCAACTCCTGGTAGGGGTTACTGCACTCCACACCCTGGTCAGCTTTCCTGAGTCTGACACTAGTCCCCTTGGAAACAAGCACTCTCCACGCCTGTTCCTCCTTCTCAGGTGGCTGCTAGGCAGGACACCTACCTGAAGGAGTTCAGTCCTGAGGGCTTCGTTCTCCCCATTTAGAGCGTCTGTCTCACTCCTCAACTGCTCCAGCTGACTTAACAGAGTGGTCAGGAGGTTGTCTTTTCTTTCCTCATACTTCGCTCCTCTTCCCCCACAACACAACGATCCAAGGCGGCCATTTTCTCTGGTCACTAACGCGAGCACTTAGGGGCATGTCCTTCTCCAAGCTAGGTCAGGTAGCAACTGAAGCTAGGTCTGCTAGATTATTAAAGGAATGTAAGGAAAAGCTTAGTATGCCTTAGCAAATTTGTTTAGCATGTCCTTAAAAACGGGTGTAGTATCAGAATCCTGGAGGATAGCGAATGTAATACCGATTTTCAAGAAGGGATATAGATCACTATCCTCTAACTACCGTCCAATCAGCTTAACATCAAATGCAGGCAAATTACTGGAAGCAATAATTTCAAACTCTATTCGAAATCACCTGGAGAACCACAAGTTGATCAATGATTCCCAACATGGCTCCACAAGCGGACGTTCATGTCTAACTAATCTATTAACATTCTTTTCAGCTGTTTTCGAATCAGTGGACGAGGGGCACGAGCCGCACGACTATGATGTGGTATATCTTGACTTAAGCAAAGCCTTCAACAGAGTCCCCCACGAAAGACTTATAAGAAAAGACGAGGCTCATGGCACTGGAGGAGATAATATAAAATGGATTAGTGCATGGTTACAGGAAAGGAAACAGCGAATGAGCATTAACGGCACTTCATCCGTTTTGAGTAACGTCACTAGTGGAGTACCCCAAGGCTCAGTGCTTGGACCATTATTATTTATTATATACATAAACGACACAGATGTCGGCGTAGACAGCCAAATAAAGAAATTTACTGATGACACTAAAATAGGGCGTGTAATCAAATCTGACTAGGACTCCACAAAAGTACAGGATGATCTAAAAATTAATCTCGAATGGTCTGTAAATGGCAGATGAAATTCAATGTGGACAAATGTAAAGTACTTAGTCTAGGAGATGTAAACAGAGAAACCAGATATTAGATGAACAACGATGTTATAGAGAAATCTGAATGTGAGAAAGAGTTAGGAGTAATGATAATTAGGAAACTTAAGTCAAGTAAACAATGTGTATTTGCTCGAAACAAGGCTAATAAAGTGCTTGGGTTCATACAAAGGAGTGTTAGTTACAAGGCTAGAGAGATTATCCTAAAACTATATCTTGCGCTTGTGAGAACTCACTTGGATTACGCAGTTCTATTCTGGTCACCGTATTACAGAATGAATAAAGAATCCCTAGAAAGAATTCAGAGGAACCTTGAGTACAGAGACAGGTTAAAGCACCTTAACTTGCACTCCCTCGAAAGACGTAGAATGAGGGACGATAGGATAGAGGTGTATAAATGGAATTCAGGCCTAAACAAAGGGGAAATTACAAAGGTACTCAAACTATCCAACCAGGAACGAACTCGTAACAATTAGACAAATTTAGATTTAGGCGCGAAATAGGTAAATATTGGTTTGGAAGTAGAGTAGTGGATGGATGGAACAAGTTACCCAACGTCATCATTAACTCGAATACGCTGGATTGCTTCAAACATAGGTTGGATGGATATAAGAGCAATATGGGTTGGGTGTAAGTGGGACAGTCCAGTATGGGCCAATAGGCCCGCTGCAGTTTCCTCCATTCTTAAGTTCTTATGTTTCGGGCAAGTGTGCGAAATCGTGTTATATGTGTGCCTGTTATCATAACCTTTCCATATATGACCACGTATGAAATATTCCGTTATTAAAAAAATATATTGAGTTGAAATGTGTTATTATGACACAACTGTCCTTATCAGGGGTTTGAGCAAGGCATGTTATCACACGTCTTCCTGGGGACTGGCAGCAGTTGTTTGTAGTCAGTGGCGCTGATGAGAGTGGCGGCGAGACATTTCGTTAGTGTTACTGCTTCTATCACCGCTCTCCAAACTTCATAAAACTGAAGGTCAGCAGAATCCATAATAGTTTTGTTTCGTAGAAGTTACGTTTGTGTCGATACTTTCTATGTGGCTTGAGAAAAAAAAGTTTTGGTTAATAACGGAGGAAATAGCAACTAAAAGTAGATTTCAGGATATTAGGAGCATAAGCCTAAAACTGTTACCCGATTATATATAATAGATTTGATCTATGAAAACTGTGAGATGATGAAAAAGAATTATTGATGATTGAAGATTTATGAATGAATTCATTATAGTCAGCTACTGTAACAGCGAGGTATTGTTTCGTAAGGAGTGGTGGAGACGTGACATTTCATTATCTTGTCGTATCATGTGGAAAAGTTCAATAAGCAATACAACTATTTTTAACACTGTGTGACACTCAGAAAATATTTGACATTTCCACGTTGATGCCACTCAAAATAGATTATAAGCCACCCTTGCTTTTTATATTGTGATTGTCGATCTATGTTTGCTTTAGTGTATGTTCAACATAAAATTCTTCAGAGCTGCTTTACCTGTATTTTCTGGAACACACACTATATATATATATATATATATATATATATATATATATATATATATATATATATATATATATATATATATATATATATATATATATATATATATATATATATATATGTGTGTGTGTGTGTGCTGATAACAACATAGGAAACAAAAAACCCCGAAGTTCCCAAGCGCTTTCGTGTAATTCACATCTTCAGGGGTGAGTAACTAATATATACAGTAAAGGAGAGCGAGATAAGTCCCTAGGGACAGCAGGTGTCCGACCCTTTCACCTGGTTACAAATCTTGTTAATCATAAAATTGTCCAATTTGTACATGCCATTACTCAAATTCATGTTGACAGATTCGGTATGTTTAATGAGATTTGATTCTATAATGTTCCTATTGTCGATTGAACAACACGGTAATGTTCAGGAGGCATAATCCCAGTCAATACAATGATTATTATCTCTCATATGAATGAACAAGGCATTGGATTCTTGGCATGTCCGAACACCTTTTTTTATACTGTTTAAGTCTAGTTATAAGATCTTTTCCCGTCTGGCCTAAGTAGAACATATTATATTCTTTGCAAGGAACCTTTTAAACGCAACCACATGCGTTCAGCTGTAGAAGAATTTGAGATAATTGTTTGTTAAATGGTAATATTAAGATATTCTTACTGTCGTGGGGAGATTTGGGATCAGTTCTCTAAAAAATATTTCTTAACGATGTTAAGGCATTTGTTTATAAAAGAAGTAGGATATTTTAAGTTCAATCAAATATTATAGACATATTTATATACCTCATCAATGAACTCCGGACTGCATATTCGCAGAGCACGTAAAAACATTGATGAGAATACTGAGTGTTTGGCTCTTTTTTGGTGGACAGAATAATAATGAATATATGAACACACATTAGTAGGTTTCCTATAATTACTGAACTTAAAGGTGTTACTTACTCTTTGGATCAGACAGTCTAGAAATAGTAATTTGCAGTCACTTTCGAATTCCACAGGGAATTTGATCGAGGGGGTTAAGTTGTAGTTGTAGAAAGGCTTTTAAGTCCTCATTACATTACATTAAGACATATTCCATCATCTACATATCTATACCAAACTGCTGAAGGTGTTACTGAAGGGATGTTCCTCATCTTTTGTGATTGGGGTGGTCCCACCAGGTCCTTGTGTGAGCTGACAAGATAGTCCCCATCTTTACGGTTATATAAGTGGTGTTATTCTTTCGCGTATAATGGTTCCGGGCAGATTGTGTTAATGTTGATGTTTCTTGGCAATCAGCTGTGTGATATATTGTTGTTTGCCTGTAATAGTTCCTTTAAAATAGGGTCCTGTGTTCGTTGTAGTTTATCCCATACCGCTTTTGCTTGTTTGTGTGTTCTTGTGTTAATTGTGTCTATGTTATGTTCTATGTGTATGTCTTGTATTTTTTGCTTGCATGGCGGCCTATGTTTTGCTGCTCTTCCTAGTGCTGTATTTTGGACTGCTTGCAGCTTGTGTTTGTTTGTTTTAGTTATAGTGTTGAGTGGAATTGGTGGGTATTCAAGGTGTGGTCTGACAAGCGATTCGTATACAGTAGATGTAGTTGTGTTTTGGTGTTTAGTTTTCTGAATTTGGTTAATTGTGATTTGGCTTTTGTCAATCTTTCCCTGATGTGTTGGTGTATACCGTTTCTGGTAATTTTTAGTCCCAGTATTTTCCCATTTTCTGCATTTGGTAACTGTTGATTATTGATTATGATTGGGTATGGATTTATTTTTGCAATGTATGTAATCTTTAGTTTTGGAATGTTGGTTTGGATTTTCCATTTTCTCTCACAGTTGTTTATTGCTTCAATTTCTTTTCCAGACATCATTTGTTTATATCTCCCCGGATATTTAATATTTGCGTGATGTCATCAGCGTATGCTATGTAGTCCGAATGTCTTGGGTCTGGCATGTCTGCTGTGTATATTGTGCATGGTGTGGGTAAAATGTTGCTGCCCTGTGGGACTCCACTATGTATGCTGAAGGTTTGTCCAGTGTAGTTGTCAATAATGAGTTTGGCTTGTCTGTTGTCTAAGAAGTTGCAGAGAAGGGTTGTCATGTTTTTGGCATGTCAAGTTTAATTATTTTATATTTGAGGCCTTCGTGCCGCACTTTATCGAAAGCTTTTGATACATCTCTGAAAACGACATTACACTGTTTTTTATTGTTGAGGGCGTTAGCTATAGTTTCGCAAATTAATGCAATGGCCGTGTTTGTGCCTCGGTTCTTCCGGAATCCATGTTGTCTGCGGTTATATTATTTGTTTTCCTGTTCTAGATAATTTCTTAGTCTGTTGTTGAGTTTTTTCTAGTATTTTGCCTGGTGCTTCTAATAGGGATATGGGTCTTTAATTTTCCGGCCTTGTTTTTTTTCGGGTTTGGGTATGAGTCTTATTTTGGCTGTTTTGAATCTCGTGGGGAAGAGTCCAGTTGCTAGTGAGGCGTTAAAGATCTGTGTAAGTTGTTTTATCAGTGTTGTGGGTATGTTTTGAAGAACAGTTTTGTTTATCTGACTTAGTCCAGGTGCTTTATCTTTAAAACTGGTTATTACGTTTGTTATGTCTTTTGTGGTAATTGGCGAGGTTAATGTGTCTGCACTGTTTAGTATGTTGAGGTCTAGTGTTCTTGGTGGTTGCCATTTCTCTGAATTTACTGTTAGGTGTGTTGTTACCATCTGTTCTGTTACTCTACAATATTTTGTGTTGAACAGTCTTTGTGTGAAATATAACAGAGTCTAGGACTGCTTTTAGTATCCTGGTGGTCCAGAGGTAGAGTTCCTCGGTCACAGTCATGGGCTCGTGGGCCGTGGGTTCGAATCCTGGCGGGTTGAGGTGTTGATTGTGTATATATATACATATACACATACATACACACATAAATTACAGTGGAATTGAAAAACATAAGTATAATGGGGAGCAGTACAACCTGGGTTGCACAGTAATAAGGTTGAACAAGAGGACAGAGCAATTATGTTTATTGCAATGGTAATTACTTATTTATTTACATGATAATTTCCGAGAAAACGGTTTTGATGGTACAATAAAAGCAGGTACTGTAAATATAGTAAGTGTTACAAGAAATATTAATACTTCGACAATAGATATTTTTTTAGAGATGATTTAAAGGAAGGGAGCGTAGTCTTTGCTCGGATGTGTGGGGGTAAGCTGTTCCACACCTTCACACCATGATATTTTATGGAGGTCTGGGACTGAAAGGAGCACATGGGAGGGGGGGGGGGTGGTCTTAGTAGCTCTGGGTGCCTTAAGTTGTATCTCTGATTATTCCGGAACTGAAAATAATTTTTGTCAAGCAAGTGATTGATAGAATTGTAAACAAAGAGGGCACAGCAGTAAGTGTTAATAGAAAAATTTATAAAAAGGTTGCTTTAGAAGCTCGGGATGTAGGTCCCTCTTCCCCCCTGGAGGCCACGATGTTCCCACATGAAAGTTGGGGTTCCCCTTGGCGGACACAACGGTGGAACATATCCATCAACGTCTTTTAAATGGATACCAGCACCCTGGCACAGGGTCTGGAGGAGGACAGCCAAGGCATGGGACTTACGCAGCTGCAGGTAGCAGGGGCTAGCGACAGCTCACCAACCTGGGTGCCCTGTTTCGCGCCTCCTAGCCACACTCAACCCGTACCTTAACGTCAACATGTCCCACCTGGTGTGGAGTGGGGAAGACATGAGCCTCTACCTCCAGTCTTTTTATACGTGTACATCCGCAGGCATCCAGACATAGACGGAAGCATCGGTTTTGTATTCTGGTCAGCTTTGCGAGTGTGGTGTCGCATGCCGATGCATACAACTGACATCTATAATCGAATTTCGATCTGATCAGGGTCTTATACACCATTAATAAAGATTTCCTAGCGGCTCCCCATGTAGTACCTGATAAAACTTTCAGGATGTTTGTGATTTTGAAGCATTTGCTTTCAAGATCATTAATGTGGTTTCTCTACGTTAATTTCCAGTCAAAATGAAAGCCGAAAATTTTAATTGACGTCTGAATTTTAATTGGAGTACCATTTAATTTCAATATTGGGCTATTTCCGTTACGTTTTTTTTGGTGAAGATCACTCCTACTGTCTTCTCAACTGAGAACCTAAATCCCCATTATATTGCCCGCTTTTCCGATGGTTTTAGGCCGACCTATACCCTTTGTGCAGACCATCTTTCGACTCAAGAGGAGCGCCAAATTACGCAATCGTCGGCAAACAATGAGAATTTGAGGTCACTTACAGTAGTCTGGGTGCTGGTGATAGGAAAACATTAATCTTTATGAGAAATAGTACAGGACCCAAGACACTGCCTTGTGGGACTCCGTTTTCTTGGACAAATGTGTCCGACATTACGTTATTTGTTAATTTGACTGAAAAAGTTATGTCTTACAAAAAATTTCTAAATTAAATGGGTAAATTACTTCTCAGACCTAAGGCTTGGAGCTTCATCA